TTGGTCGCCAAACTCTTTGAGGACTCTGAAGCGTTCTTCCCTGGAGAGAGTGCCTTCTGCGGGTGTCCCCGCTGTTACGGCTGGCGCCGCTTTAGCGGGTGGCCCCGCAGAGCCCTTGTCCTCCTTAGCCTTGGCGGCCGCTTCTGCCCGCACCGACCTCATCCCAGCTTCGGGCTTCGGCTGCGCTTTCATTCGTGCCGAACCTGGTCGTGGTGCAAGGCGTGGCTGATGCAGTGTTGGAGTCCAGTCACCTCGGAATGCTGCCTTAGGCTTGTCGCGAGCTTCGTCCTTGACATCGCCTTGGGTCGCCGGCGGCATCGGGGTCGATGGTCCAGCAAAAACCTTCTTCCTCTCTGTCACGGACGGACCGGGAGGAGCTGCCGTCTTAGGATCGTCTGTCTTGGCAGTCCCTCTGGCCTTCGCCCGCTCATGTGTGCCTTCGGGGCTCTTGGACGGTTGCCTTTTCGCAGGAGTCGGTGAAGACGAGGAGTCGGCTTTAGGTCTTGGCGGTGGTCTGCTGCCCTTGCCTGGTCGTGGACCAGGAGGGTCTCTAGGAGGGCCTTCTGGCTGGCCATGATCATGGATGACCTGCCTCATCTGGTCGATGTCGGCAGTACCCTTTATGGCCAGCTTGTACTTGCCATTCTCATGGCGGTAGAGTACCCTCGTGCAGAACCACTTCTGCGCCGAAGAGCTGTAGTACCAGCAGGCGCTTCCGTCAGGGAATGGATTCTCTGAACCGTCTTCCGCCGCCCACTCTTCATTTAGCTCAGTGCGGTCAGTGCCGGCGGCGGACCCGGCAGCAGAGGCAACGTCTATCCACTCGTCCGCAGATCCAGCGGCTGGTGCTGCTTCTGCGGGTGACCCCGCTTCCTTGCTGGATTCTGGGGGTGACCCCGCTTCCTTACTGGATTCTGCGGGTGACCCCGCTTCCTTATGGAATCGGCGGTTCCATTCCTTGAGGCGGTGGTCATTGGGAAGCTTTGCCCAATTTTCCTTGACGGTGTTGGCCACCTCTTCGGTCATAGGGACGCGATCGGCCTCTGTGATGCGCTTTCCTCCTCCAGGAACCTCTTTGTTCGGATCATGGACGTTACCCGCGTCGTCTCCATGAGACCAATTCCACGGGGTTTCTCCATGGTGAGGGCTCCTGGAGGGGCGGTCCATCGGACACCTGCGCATGTGGCCTTTGAAGGGCTCACACTGACATACTTGCTTTCTGTACGTTTTGCGGTCAGTGATGATCTCCTGCTTCTTCGCCCTTTTGTCCCAGGCCTCTGGCGTCTTGGTCTTGCCGCCCTTGGTACGGATTATCGCGCCAGTCTCGTCCCTTTTGGTACAGTATTCCTTAGAATACCAGTGCCGAAGAGTATCCATAGAGTAGCCGGGGTACCATTGGATGTACCAATCCGGCACCTGCTGAGCAGATACTCCAACGGAGTGCTCAGTGCTGTATGGATAGCCCGATTCATCATGCGTAGGGCGTCTAGGAGCTGAGCGGCTCCTTCCGCGGGCTGGCCCCGCTGACGCACTACCACGTGTCACTGGCCTTTGATCGTCATGCTCTGAGTCTCGGGGAGGCGACGGTCGCCTGTCCCTCTTGGCGTACCGCATGTCCTCCGAGTCCTCTGAGCTGTCCTGGACCATGAACACGTTTTGATACGGGCTTCTGAAGTATCCGATGTCATTTAACTGCTCCATCGAGAGGTCGTTAATGTTCATTTGATCGCAACCTTGCATGAATACATCCATAGACCAAGCGGGTGGCCCCGCTGTTGTGTCTAGCATCTCTTCGGCGGGTGACCCCGCTAGAGCTTGGAGTGCTGTAAGCATCTGAGATGCTGACATGTTCGAATCCAAGTATGGACGTAGACGGGCAACTCCTGGGTGCGACAGCAGTTCGCTCATCGTCATCTGCTGCTGTGCTGGCGCACTCAAGAGTCGGATTGCTTCTGAAACCTGCTCTTGGAGCATGTCGTTATAATCTTCTTCGGATTCTTCGGAGTCGGAATACGCGGGATGGCCCCGCATTTCGTCATCGGCGTCTCCCATCTCCGAGCCAGCCCACGACGGATTTGGCAGCAACGGCATGCCAATCACTTGTGGGGCCAGCGCGGCGGTGAGTTCTTCCTCTGTTGCCGGGACAGTCTCGGCTTCGGAGACCTCGTCACCGGCGGGTGGCCCCGCTGGAAGACCGAACCAAGCATTGTACGCAATCTCATCGACCTCGTCCCAGCCGTGGAACTCGTCGAAGAGGGTCACTGCGTAGTCTTCCAGGGCCACAGTTGCTTCAGCATAGCGGGCCATCACGTAATACGTGGAGGAGCCCGCAGCGGGAGCCGCTTCTGGATTGACGTAAAACTCGTAGTCAATGTAATCTATGTCATCCATAAAAGAATTTTGAGCCAAGTGTACGGATCCCTTTCCTTTCCCCTTCGGGCATTGATCGCGCAAATGCTCTGTGCTACCGCATGTATGACACTTCATAGTATTACCAGAAGCGTCCCTAGGGTTGCCCCTCCGCCCCTTTCCCTTACCGGAGGTCCGCCTGTGACCCCGACCTTTGCCTCCGATAAGAACTTCTTCAAAAGCCATATCAGTTAAGGACGTGAGGAAAGCAGTAATACCCCTACCATGCATACGGCGTCTGCGACCCCCTTTACCACGACCCTTTCCAAATTGTTTGAAATGTCGGCGTACTGCACGTCTCACCTTTCTGACTGGTTTCTTCATAAAGCGCCTCCAACGGCGTTTTGATTTGCGATAAGCCATAAAGGCGGCTTCCGCCCTTTGCTGTTCAGAAAGGTGAGTGTCGTCCGCTGGATAGTCATTACCAGCAGAGACTATTCCATTGTGCTCATCGTCAGATGAAGTATCTGTGTCAGTGCCAGATTCAAACGGTGAGGGTGGCTGAGACCATTGAGCGGATGACTCCGCTTGGCCCCAGAGGGTTGTGCCCGAGGGCGGGCTTGCAGTGTAGGCGGCGCCTGGCGAGTAGTTCGACCAGGCGTTCGCCTCAGCTGCCTCTGCCGATGCCTGGCCGGTCTGCCCTAGAAGGGCAGTGGCCTCGTTGGGCATATCGGCTGGGTCAGCCCAGGGATTTGGCTCGCCAGGACCAGCGGGTGACCCCGCAGTCGTGGCGTAGACACCTGCATGTGAGTGGTGCCCTGTGAAGATACCCGCTATGTTGCCAGGAGAGCGCTCGGCAACATGTCCGTAGTTCCTCATCCTGGTCAGCAGCCTGTCATAGTCTGCTTGTGTTCGGGGCATCTGATGATTGAAGGGCTCAAGCAGGTGTTGGGCTCGTGACGCGCCAACGCCTAACGCTCTGAAGAGAATCAGCGTTAGGATCTGAAAGTTGGGGATGACAAAGCCAACAGAGTTAGCCTCGTCACGGGCCATCTCGAATCGAGCTAATACCGAGTCGATTCGCTCGCCCCTTTCGACGCGGAAGTCGATAAGGGCCGTGCCAGAGTTGAGCTGGCGCTCATCTTCCAGATTTTCAAATTTGGTGCTCAGTAAGTACAGTATGTAGGTTACTGCATCCGTTGGCTGTCCATTGACAGTTACACCATAATTGATGATCTGGGAGGGGACCTGCATGGCGATACGACGAGCCAGACCCTGAAGGCCTCGTTGTAGTGCTGCAGCTTGTTGTGGTGGTGTCATATTGCCGCTCGTTACGTTTAACCATGCATGTACTTCGCGAACGTATTCGCGGAAAGGCGTAGTACCGGCAGGGTCCCATGTAGGGCCAGTAGTACGCGTGTCGTCCATCCCCTGCCGCATGTATCCCACAGCACATCCCATTATCACCCATAGAATGCCGAAGATAGTTATCTTGATCCAATGCATATGCATTTCGGCTTCGGTGATTGGTTTAGGCTGTGGTTTGTCAGGCTCTGGCGTGGTAGCCGTGAGGCGCCTGACCGGCACGGGATGCAGGTGGCCCCGCTGCGGGTAGCCCCGCAGGGTGACCACGTTCTCGATCGAGTTGCCGATTGGCATCTGGTGGAAGTCGGGAGTGAAGTAGCGCAGTGAAGTAGGAGAAAGCGTCTCGAGTTCGCGGGTTGACCCCGCTAGCTCGATCGCGGACTGGCTCCGCTCCTCGCAGAGCCGGCGCAACATGGTATTCCACCGTGGTAGTAGTCCACCAAGTTGTGCCGTGGATTACTGGAATCAGAGCGAGAGCCAGCCACACGAGAGTGTAGCCAGCTCCGCTACCAAGTCGAAAACAAGCTGGTAAGCTTAGGTATGTGTTACGCCTTAGGCGTTGCCATATCCCAGGCTTTGGCTCATATCGCATGAGCAAGAGAGCGAGACGAAGCATGGGATCTGGAGTATAGAGTAGGATGGGCATCGTCAATGGAAAGGATGTTTTCCGATCTCAGATGCAAGTAGTGCGCCTCGGTGAGGCACAGTCACATATCAGGCCGGGCCCGGCTTGAGCCAGGCACGGCAGCGGTACATGCTCGATTTATACCTCGCCTTTAACCTTCTCCGTTTAAAGTAAAGGGGCCAGGAGAAGGAGCACGAACCGAAAATCCGAGCCTTCCGCCACGAGGGGCCCCCGGGAGGGGCTCCCAAGAGGCCCCAAGAGGCCCCCGAGAGGCTCAGAAGAGGCCCCCCCGCGAGGCCTCAAACCGGGCCCCAAGAGGCTTCAAAACTGCCTCCAAGAGGCCCCCGAGAGGCCCCCCACGAAATCCCAACGAACATCGAGTAGGCTTCATGACCCACAGGACCTGCCGTAGGCAGCTGGCAAATGTTTTGAAACTGGTCGGCGGTTTGCACTCCAAGGCTAATCCGATTACTCGTTGTGGGGCAGCAGAATGCCTGAAACCTCAAACAAACCGTGCGTCATGGAGGTGCCGTGTGAAGCAGGCAAGGGCTACTGGATGGTGACTGAGCTTCCTGAGAGAGGGCCCGTCCAGCTCAGAGGACAAAGAAGAAGGGGCACGGGGGGCGGCGACGGAGGAGGAGGAGGCCGCTAAGGACCGCTCCCAGCAGAAGGCGTTGTGCGGCGCCGGGTCCTCGCTGTCTGGGACCCCGTCTCCTGGCGGAGGATCGTGGCGCATCGTGGCCAGAGGAGGAGGGCGAGGAGGGAGAGCACACGTCGGCCGTAAGAAGTGAGCAAAAGCATGAAATAGGGAGGCGGAATAAATGGGATTGGGCTCAGGCCCTCCCGGAGAATTACAAAACACAGCAAAAGCACATCGGTTCTTGAAGTAGGAAGGCGCTTGAAGTAGGCTGGGATTCGGGAATCAAGATGTACCTACCTTCAACCATCGACGGGCAGTCCACCCAGACCCGCCTGCCGTGGGCGAATAGGCGTGCGAGACAGTTGGCTGTCCCGCACTCCCCCTGCGAGACAGTTGGCTGTCCCGCACTCCCCCTCCCCCGAAACCCAGAATCCTGTCAGTGGCTTTCAGATTGCCTCCAATGTGGCCCCAGGTGGCCTCCAGTCGGGCCACCACGCAGCCAAGACGGCCAATGACGGCCTCAAATTGCAGAGCATCACCTTCCGACTGCCCGGAGAACCCCGACGACGCCCCAAAGGGACCCCAGGAAGCCAGGGGTCCGGGGGGGGGGCCAGGGTGGGGCGCGCTGCCACAAGGAACGCCAAGTAAGGAACGAGGGCGGTTTCCAGACCACGGCGAGCCTCGGCCAGGAACGGGTTCCCCGACATAGACCCAAGGAACGGCCCGGGAAACGAGGCCCCCTCCTGAGCCCAAAGTGACCCTTACTTCAGGGTCTCGACTGCACCCTCGCCGATCGAAGACTCAGGCAACTCGATGGGCGGCGGGGGCATGGTTCAAAATTCGTCGATCACGTGGCGAAATCCGAACTCCTGCAATCATTGCAATGGAACTGGGTGTCCACGGAACAAATTAAGGGACAGATGAGTGCGCCCCTGGCGCACTGATCTGTCAGGAAAATCGATGGTTGGTGGAGGCAGGGTTCGGATTCCCGGATGTCGCCTCTACCTCTTCCGACACTCACTCGGCGACGAGGTGTGAGTTTAGGAGTTTGGGGCCCGAGGTTCAAGATTTTCGGGCACTTCCGTGGGTTCTTGGCGGTTTCCCAGCCTCGTGGTGTGTTCCAGCGGCTGGGCCTCGCCGAGAGCGTTCCGGGAGTGCCCAGATCGTCCCGAACGGCCGAAAGACCCGAACTCTGACCCCAACATTGGACGACAAGGCTTTTGGGGGAAACAAGCCTTCTCAGAAGGCGGCGGGACTTCACAGAAGCCCTCCGGCACTCTGAGCAGCCCCCCGGCATTGCTTTCGGAGAAACCTCAGGAGCTTTCTATCAAAGGCTGGAGGCCTTCTTAGCCTTCTGGGAAGGCCCGCCCCCTCTGCCCTGACCCCCTGGGCACGCCGCCGAGGCACGTGGTGGGGGAATGGTGTTTTCGCTCCGCGCCCAGGAGGCAAAAGTCCCTGCAGAACGGAGCTGCTCCGCACCCGTGTCACGACATGGCGGGCGCACCCATGAGACGCCTCGGCCAAGCACTAAATTCGAGCTACGGGCATTCCTGTGAAAGCGAACCACCTCTTCTGCTGTAGAACACGTATGTAGCATCCGCAGGTGAACGCTTTCTGTGAGCCCTGCGGGTCAAGACGACGAGACTCTTGTGACCTCGAGCTTGTTAAACATGCAAGCATTTGTGCAGAGCGGTACACTGCGCCCGCTTGCCGTGCGGTACCGTGGGTACAGTGCTGCACTGATGAGGTGTGGCCATGAAATCCTGGGCGCCCTGGCCGAGCGCACCCGTGGCTAGTCAGACGCTCGCGCCACCAACGAACGACGACACGTCTGCTACATCATTCCCTTCGGCTGAGCAGATTGAGGCTCCGCAGCGCAGGCAGAAATCAAGTGTCGAAATCGATTCGCCCACGCACCAGCCCTTGAGGAGCACAGCCTCATCTGGGCCTGCCCTGGCACAGAGGATCCGAACGTACACCCAGCGCGCCCTCAGCCTGCGCGCGGCTCTGACGCAGCAGTTCGAGTACTGCTCCGGACTGGGGCAGCGAGAGAGAATACGCAACGCGCAGAAGAGCTCCCTCCGAGAGAGGCTCGGCCTGAGCCTGCCCCAGCCACAGTGCTGCACCAGCGCCACCACGCCGAGCACGTGCTCCGCGATGGCCGCGGCCCGGATCAGGTCGCCTCTGCGCTCTCGGGGCACCGTGCTCGCGCTGACCGCGGGGCGCACGCACTGGTGCCGCGCGCGCACGTGCACGAGCCGGCGCCTCCAGAGCCCAGACTGGCGCAGCAGGTGTTCCGCGGCGCCCAGGTAGAGCTGGACCACGAACTCTAGCGAGCGCCTCAGCACCAGGGACGGCATCGTCATGCACCTTCGGTGGCAACTCGTGGGAGCCTCCCATGCTATCTTGTTGGCTCTTGCGAACTGACGCTAGCCGACGCGACTCGACGCTTATCGACTCTAATCGACGCTAGACCGACACTAAATCGGCGCTCTCTCATCGACTACCAGAGACCAACGCATGCTAATGCACTCTAACACGGAATTCGAGTTGAAGGCGGCCAGGGGGTCTGAGATGGATGAGCCCCGAGAAAATATGTCAAGAAAGGGGATGAAGCCAAATCCGCTCAAATTCAGTCCGCAGACCCCTCCCGAGGTCCATCTGAGGCAAATTTTCACCCCGGATCATTTCTTGACGGTCCCGGGGCCTAACCGTCCCCAGAAGACGAGAAAGTGCCCGAGCCCACCTCCTTCAACCTCGCCCCACCCCTTCCTGCTCGCCAGAACCAGTGCCGTGCCACCTCAGACCCTCAGCTGGCTCCAAACTTCGAGGACGTACAGTCGGCGGCGAGCAAGGGGGGGAGGTGAGAAGGAGAAGGCCTTCTCAGAAGGCGGCGGAACTTATCAGAGGCCCTCGCGCCTTCTGAGAAGGTTGTCTGTGTGCCTTCGGGGAAGGCTTAGGAAACGTCTCAGACGGCTGGGGGACTTCCGAGCCATCTGAGAAGGCCTTCTCCTTCTTACGTCCCCCTCGCTCGCCGAGGATACACGGCTCCCAAGATCTGCTCCCCAAAATACCCGAAGCAGAACACCAGCACGACGGAGCCCGCCACGTTGAGAGGGCCGTCGCGCCCGCCCTTCTCGCGCAGGCCGCGAACGAAGTGCGCCACCTGGCTGGCTCCGAAAACCCGCAGCTCAAAACTCGGTACTATCGAAATGGGCACTCCAGGTCCCGTAACAAAATGGAGGAACACAAAACGCCATGGACATAAAGTGTTGCCGGTCCGCGCGGATTTCCTGGATCTGCGCTGGACCCCGCTCCTTGGCGCGCGGAGCGCACCAGGGGCGGCGCAGTGGGGGCCCAGCGCGGATCCAAGAAATCCGCGCGGAGCGCTGAAAGTTCATAGTTATGGTGTTTCTCCTTCTCCGAGTAACAAAAGAGCCATCTTAGACCCCCGCTGGCTTTGCATGAAAAGGCGGTCTCTTTTCCCAGACCCCCCGGAGCCCTCCAGGAGAGCTCCAATCATGCCCCCTCCGGAATCAAACCACCCCCTGTTTGTTGTGGAATCCGGAGCACGGAAAGAATGGGTACGAAGACCAACAAGCAGGTCCTGTGCATTTTCAGCAAAGTTCGCTGTCGGCGACCCTGCGGACATTGCACATGTGAGACGGACGACCACCTGCCCAACAGCGGCCGCTGTCGTTTTGAGCAACCTGTGCTGTTGGGCATCGTACCCATGTTCTCCGCACGTACCCATTTCGGGCGTTCAAGCAAAAAAGGTTGCCCTCTATGTTTACTTCTGCCGGCTTCCACTGGCATTCCGCCAACTTCCGCCGGCGGAGGCGCCCTCGTTTTGCCTCCGCTGCTCTCCGCCGGCCTTCCGCCCCCTTCCGCCGGGGAAGAGGTGCCAGCTCCCTGCAACCCTTCACGGCACGCGCTACCTCGAGGCACGGCAGGAGCGGCGCCGAGAGAATGCGGAGGAGGCCCTGCGCCACGTGCGACAGCAGAGTGAACAGGTCGTGACAGTCGAAGACAAAAAACTGCTTACGTGCGAGGCAGGGAGTGATCCATCTCCACCGCCTGGGAACCGACGACCTGGTGCCCCAGCGGGCGGTGGATATGGACAGATTTCGGCCCCTGGGGAGCCGAACATATCCACTTCACCGGCTGTGGACGTCCGCGAAGATCGAATGCCCAGGCGGTGGTTATGGACAAATCCCCGCCGCGGAACGGCTGCTTCGCGTCGCGATGTCGCGGGCGTTGGCTTTCTGACGCCGCGTGGCCCCGCTCAGACCTCGAGCGGTCGCGGCGCGCCGACAGCGCTGGTCGCTCGACCTCGGCCGACTCTGGGCCACGGGCGGCGCTTGGCTTCGAACGCCCGCGCTGGGGTCGCCGCCGCAACAGCGCAGCGCAAACCCACCGTGCGGCGAGGGCATTGGATAAGGTTAGAAAGCCCAGGGTTCGCTAGGGACTGGCCTCCTCCCAAAACAACGAAAACCCTTCCAAAACCCTCCGAGAACGCTCCCGGAACACTTCACGGAGGGTTTTCGGAGGGTTTTGGGAGGGTTTCGGCTGATTTGACAAGAAACCAGTCCTATAGCGAACCCTTGACTTTCTAAGGATAAGGATGCGAAGCGGGGATTTATCCATATCCACCGCCTGGGAAGCGACGTCCGGGTGCCCCGGCGGGCGGTGGATATGGATATTCTTTGGCCCCTGGGGGGCCCGAATGTGTCCATATCCACCGCCTGCCGCGGTCCCCGAAAATCGATCCTCCAGGCGGTGGTTATCTATAAATCCCTGCCCCGGCAAGGAACCTTTGGACAAGGAGTCCAGGGCCTGAGAGCCTGTGGAGCACCAACCGAGGCTTGCCCGCGGATATCGCCGCCGCCCTCCTCGGATATGGAACTCTCCAGGGTCTGAAGCCTCACGGGCACAGTCGTTAACGACGAGCGCTCCCACCGCAAACAGAAACTTTCCGAAGTCTGGGCGGCGTTCCTGGATCGGCGCTGGTCCCCCCTGGCAGCGCCTCTGGCGCTGCCCCATGGCGCGCTCCGCGCGCCAGGAGTGGGGGCCCAGCGCAGCTCGAAGACGTCCGCGCGGAGATCCGAAAGTCCGTGTGTTGTGCCGCTGTTTCCTTCTTCGAGACAGACGAACGCGGGCGCGTGCGTGTCCCAGTGGATGTACCCGTAGTCGCAGCAGAGGGCGGTCCTTAGGGCGGACTCCTGCAGCGCGGCGTGCGCCTCCTGTGAAAGCTTCAGGCCCGCCCCCGGGTGCCACTTCTCCGCGACCACCACGCGCGGCTCCGACCTGGCGAAGAGCGACGCCGAGCAGACCATGTCGAAGAGGGGCAGGTTCCTTGATTGCGTGATAATCGACCTTTAGCAGAAACAACAGACTGCGCATGTTGGACCCAGACTGACAACTCTCCGTCGCTGCTTGGCGCCTCATGAGCCACGTCTGCATCTCAGAGTGGCGGGCGGGGGCCGGGAAGGGGTATGCCGCATGCCGCGCCTCAACAAAAACGTTGCCCCGATGTGGGGCTGCCGCGATCGCCGCGGCCACTTCTCAAACCGACCCGGACGTTTGCGGGGTCGGGTATTACGCAACGACTCCTTGGTGGGCTTGTTTTCCACCACCACCACCACCACCATAAGTAGGAGGGGGAGGGGTCCTCCTCCTCCTCCTCCTCCTCCTCCTCCTCCTCCTCCTCCTCCTCCTCCTCCTCCTCCTCCTCCTCCTCCTCCTCCTCCTCCTCCTCCTCCTCCTCTTATTATTATTATTATTATTAGCATTATTTGTATTAGCATTATTAGTATTATATTCTCATTATTATTATTCCTCCTGCTCCTCCTCCCCATCCTCCACCTCCGTTCCCCCTCCAACTTATGGTGGTGGTGGTGGTGGTGGTGAAAAACAAGCCCATCAACTCCTGGTGAAGGAGTCGCACATGGCACCGACGCCGTCCTCGCGCGACATGGCCTCTGCGATCTCGGCCGCGCACCTGCGGACCTCTGGGGCGCGCAGCCGCGCGAGGGCCTCCACGAGGCGGTCCGCGCAGAGCTCCCGGTAGGGGCACGGCGGCGGCCCCGCCCCCGCGCGCAGCACGGCGTCGCCCCAGAAGTGCTGGTCCCCGAAGACAGAGGAACCAAAAACGGCACCAACATCAGCTTTCGGGGCCTCAAACGGGTGGCAATGCAGGGTGACCCGAGTGGGGGGTGAAGGGCCCCTCTTGGTGCCAGCGGGGTCCAAAAGGGGCCCTAAAGAAGCCCTAAAAGGGCAATTTTCTTCACCCCCCATTTGGGTCACCCCCCATTACCACCCGCCCGAGGAGCTCCGCGCGGATTCATGTCCAGGGTCGGCGCCAGAGGCGCCGCCAAGGGGGGCAATTACCCGGCGCCGACCCGAGAGATCGGCGCGGTCGAAAGCCTACGTCCGTGCCGTGTTCCCTCCCTCGAGCAGAACGGCACGACGAACGTCGGGAGCCCGAAGCGGAGGCCAGCGGCCACCGTGCCGGCGCCGCCGTGGTGGACCACCGCGGAGCAGCGGGGCAGGAGCCAGGAGTGCGGGCACGCGCCCACGAGGTGCACCTCGCCGGGATCCCGTGCGCAGCCGCCGAGC